GTGTCCCCGGCGAGGTGGAACCACTCGAGCCGCTTCAAGGGACTCGGCTGACTCGAGCCGTCAACTCAACAATGCCTCGATGCTTCTCACTCCCCACATGCACGACATTCCACTCGGTTGGCTCTATTGACACCTCATCTGCATTTTCTTCCTCTTTTTGCTCTCCCTCTTTTCACCACATTGTCTGGCACAGGAGTTGTCAAGCAGTACTGTTGCTACGGTTATTGCATCGACCTGCTCCGACGACTGGCCAACAGGACAGGCCTGACGGACGACTTTACGCCGTTCACGTACGAGCTGCATCTGGTGGGCGACGGGCAGATGGGCGAAGAGCGCGTCGAGAACGAGACTCGTCGGTGGACCGGTATCATTGGCGAACTGTTGGGCGACAGCGCCGACCTCGCCGTGGCGCCGATCACCATCACGCCGGAACGGGCGGCGCGGGTCGAGTTCACGAAGCCGTTCAAGTACCTCGGCATCACCATTCTCGTGAAACGGGTGAGCACTTGTCCCACTTGCACACACCCCACCCGGCCAGGATGGTTGAGGAGGCCGGTGGGGCTGAGGTGACCAGTCAGTTGGGTCCACTCCAGACGGGTTCAGGTAGCCGTTTTGCCAATGGGTTTCGGTGCAAATGCAGTTGCATCAACAATAGCCTCCTTTAGAAGTGGGTTGACCTTGTTGGACTTGTTGTCAGGGCGACTTAGGGCAACACAACTAGTCCGAAGTCGTTTGTCATAGCAGTTGTCTTGATTCCCAGCATCAGACAGTGGACTTGGTACATTCTCAAATGTTTCGCAGGCTCATGTCATTGTACCATGTCCACTGTCTGATGCTGGGAATCATGACAACTGCTATGAAAGACAACTTCGGACGAGGTGGGTTCTATTTAGTCGCCCTGACAACGAGGTCAACCCAGTTCTATAAATCGAAAAGAGACTGCGACCCTAACAGAGGCCACAACATCTTGGCCTTCACATCATCAATAGCGTTGTATGTTCGCATTCTCAATCGCCCTGTTGAGCACGATCTTGTGGTGGTTCCGAAACCCATTCAAAACCAACATCCAGGCAGAAATGGTTTTACAAACAATTTCACAAGATGCGCTAACCCAGTCCACACTTGAGCTGATTGGTGGGCATTTTGTAGCATCAGC